TCAATGGAAAATGGCCTCAAGAAAATTCAAAGCTTGGATTTAGCATATTAGGATTTGAAAGCAGCTCTTATGCCAATAAAGGAGGGAATGTACTGTTTTGTAATTTTTTTAAAGATTTTTATTTATTTATTTTTAGAGAAGGAGAAAGAGAAGGAGAGAAACATCAATGTGTGGGTGCATTTTGTGCGCCCCCTGCTGGGGACCTGGCCTGCAACCCAGGCATGTGCCCTACAATGGGAATCGAACCGGTGACCCTTTGGTTCGCAGGCCGGCGCTCCATCCGCTGAGCCACACCAGCCAGGGCATAATGTTTTGTAGTTTTAAAAAAACCTAACTCTTAGCTGAGATGTTGAAACTAGAAGAATGATACACCAATTCTAAAACTGGGAAATCTATTGTACTATATAAGAAATTTACTATAGGAGCTTAGCAGCAGGTTGAAAAACGACAGAAGGGTCAGTGAACTTGAAGGCAGAGCAATGAAAATGATCCAATATAAAGAATAGAGAAGGAAAACAAAATTTTAAAAAAGGAATAGACTCCCAGGGAGCTGCAATATTATGTAAAAAAAGTACATTACAAAGAATTAAAACTCTAGATGGAAAAGAGACGATAGTACAAAAACTGTTAGGAGGAATGATGGTCAGCATGCGTCAAATTTGGTGAAAGACGTAAATTTGCAAATTCCACTGGTTCAGCAAACTCCAGGGAGTGTGAATAAAAATAAAATCACACGTAGGGAAGCTTCTGCTCTAGAAAATTGGAGGTAGATTTTTCTCCTATTCCTCCCACTAGATACAACTAGAAACACAGGATACTGGATATAAAATAAGTACAGGAAGAAGCAGAAAGGTGGAAAGAATGAGGGAGACAAGTCTTAGGGTGTCGGCACCCACGGAGGACCCTGAGTGAGGTCTCTGATTCCTTCTTGCCATACACGCCCTACACCTGGAGCTGAAGAAGCTGCCTGGAAAGGCCAGCTGTCAGAGACAAACACAGAAACAATGATGACAACACAGTCTGTGCTCTCCCTTGGCCGGAGGACCACGAAACAGTCAGGCTATCAAGACAGAAAACTTCTAGACAATAACTGTTCTTCCCCAAGCATCACAGAAAAGTTGTCATCCCGCCCCCTGGCCAGCAAAAGAGGGAAGAGACTAGATTCCAGACTACTGTGCTCCCCACGTGCCCCGAGCCGCCCACAGAGGGACATTAGAGAAGGTCACGTGCACAGGGAGCCCGCTCCCCGTGGTGTGCCGGAGGCCACGTGGGCAACCTGGAGTTCCACCTTAATCCAGAAGTTGCGGGTCCCTTCCGCTCCTTGCTGGAGTTGCGTCACAAGAGGATTAGTGAATTTCGGACTTTTGTCGCCATCTGGCGGCAATGAGACCTGTCCATCATTTTTGCCTGAGGTCTCACGAGAAGACTTGTTCGCGTCCATGTTTCTACCAATGTTCTGTTCAAGGCGCCCCACGAATTCGTTAAGAAGACGGAGATTTTCTCTCCAGTCTTTTCTTTCTCAGCCCTCTGCGCAACCTCGGCTCCTTCTAGCACGCACCACAGAGCCTTCCAGCCTCTCTCTACCCATTACTCATTCTAAAGCCAAGTCTACATTTTTAGGTCTTTGGAACAAACAGCACCCCACTTCTCAAAACCAAAATCTGTATTAGGTTTTTCCAGAGAAACGGAACCAATAGAATATACAGGGTCTGGCACAAATGACACCCCTTTTTTATTACAAAATCATAAGCATGCCATTCTGTAACATAATATCACACTCAAGCACACCATATGACATTTTAGGTGAAATATGCAAATTGCTGTCCATCTCGTGTGAGACATTCACATACCCTACCAACCATACTCAAGCAGGCGTTACTTCTGCCGAACCCTGTACATGCAAACAGGAAGGCTGAAGAAGGGCTGGTGGAGTCGTCTCCTGTCTGAGAACAGGCAGGCCAGAGACCCAGGAAGAGCTGATGTCCCAGTTTGAGTCCAAAGGCAGGAAAAGACCAACGTACCAGGTCCAGGCAGTCAGGCAGAAGAAATTCTCTTTCACGCAGCCTGTGTGGTCTCTTAGCCATCAACTGATTGGGCGAGGCCCACCCACAGTAGGGAGAGCAATCTGCTTTATTCAGTCTACTGATTTAAATGATAATCCCATCTGAAAGTACTCTCACAGACATTCTCAGAATAACATCTGACCAAATATTTGGACATTCCCCAAACCAGCAAGATGGCACACAAAATTAACCTTCACAGAACTGAAAAATACAATAATCATACTAAAACCTAAATGAAAGAAATCATCGGCAAGATAGAGGAGACACAGGAAAAAAAATCATTAAACATATTACATAAAATCACATGAAAAGCAGAGAGAAAATAGGAGAAAATGAAAAGAGCCTTGGTACTTAAGGAAATATAACAGATCTAATATTCATGTCATTAAAAATATTCATGTCATATAACAGAAGATCTAATATCCATGCCATTAAAGTCAGGAAAAGAAATGAGAAAAAGGACGTGGCAGGACAAGTATTTGAAACGTAACTACTCAGGCTTCCTAAATTTGGCAAAAATCTATACAATCAATAGTCCAAACAAATCTCAAACAGGATAAACCTAAAGAAATCCACACCAATACACATCATAGTCAAACCTCTAAAAACTGAAGACAAAGAAAAAAGAACTGAAAGCCACCAGAAAAAAAAAATGACATCTTATCTATAAGAGAAAAAAATTATTTCAACAACAGCAGATTTCTTGCCAGAAAATACACAAGCAAGAATAAAGTAGCACATTTTTCAAATGTCAAAAGAACTGTCAGAACAGAATCTTATAACCAGCAAAAATATTCATCACATATGAAGAAATAAAAAGGTGTAAAAGATATTCCAGGCTAATATTAATAAAGATATTGCAGTCATATGAATTGCTGGCATGGCAATATTAATGTTAGACAAAGAGTTGATTCCATCAGCAATAAATGCTTCAAATAGAAGTCACTGATAGTGAGGACACATGCATTTGGTCCAGAAGCTATTAATACGAAGGACTTTTATGGCCGTGGTAATGACAATGGTGGTGGGCACTTGTTGAGCACTCTAATTGCTCTACTCTGCCCTTTCAAACATTATCTCACAACCACTTTGCAACTGAGGAAAGAAGCTTGGAGAGGCTCCTTGGCCACAGTTACTCGGCAAAGAGGTGGAATTGGCCCGATTCAGGCCCAGGGAGTGGACTGCTCAGTCGCAGAGAGCACATTCCTAAGATTTTTTAAAAAGACAACTTCATCCTGGCCAGGTAGCTCAATGAGTAAGAGTGTCATCCTGATGCACCAAGGTTGTGGGTTCGCTTCCCGGTCAGGGCACATACAGGAATCAACCAATGAAGGCATCAATAAGGGGAACAACAAATCAATGTTTCACTTTTTCTGTCTTCCTCTCTCTCTCTAAAACCAATCAATGACAATTAAAAAAAAAAAAAAAGACAGCTTCACCTAGCATGGGGAACCATGAATAAATAATGTGAGAGAAAGAATGGAAGAGTCCATTGCTATCAACTGCGTTTCCCAGTATCTCAGAAGTGAGGCCAACACTACAACCACACTCTCTGGAATGGCTGGAATCCAGGAATTTCTAGTACAACCAGAGAAGTATACACCTAATGACAAAGTTACCAGTTCCATCCACACATCTTTCCTAATGTGTGTACAAGGTAAGCAGCAACTGAACATGACAGACAATGTTGTTCTTATGGAACATTCTAGAAGGCGTGAGTTAACACAGCAGTGACCGCCCTGCACTAACAAAGGTACTGACTGGGTACTGGAAATTGGTGTTGAAGGGTCGTCCCTTGGAGGAGGTGACCTGCAATCTGAGGCGTGAAAAGAAGAAAGACCTGCCTGGCAAAGGTCTGGAGGAGATGGTCCCCAGGAGCTTGTTCTAGGTGGAAAGTGCCTGCGCTCACCTTCTCTGGGACACAGACGAGGAGGCCAGTCTGCAAGGTCAAAGGTGTGTGTACCCTACCGCTCTCTCCAGGCTTCTAGAGCAGCTTGCAGCTGCTATCAGGTATACTAGCATAGAGAACCCAAATTCTGAATGAATGAATGAATGAATGAATGAATGAATGAATGAATGAGTGGGTGGATGGATGGATGAATGAGTGAATGCAGGGATGAGTGAATGGACGGATGGTTACATGGATGAATGAATGAATGGGTAGATGAGTGGATGGACGGATGAATGAATGGGTAGATGAGTGGATGGACGGATGGATGGATGGATGAATGAATGAATGGGTAGATGAGTGGATGGACGGATGGATGGATGGATGGGTGAATGAATGGATAGATGAGTGGATGGACGGATGGTTACATGGATGAATGAATGAATGGATAGATGAGTGGATGGACGGATGGATGGATGGATGAATGAATGAATGGATAGATGAGTGGATGGACGGATGGATGGATGGATGGATGAATGAATGGATAGATGAGTGGATGGACGGATGGATGGATGGATGGATGAATGAATGGATAGATGAGTGGATGGACGGATGGATGGATGGATGGATGAATGAATGGATAGATGAGTGGATGGACGGATGGATGGATGGATGGATGAATGAATGGATAGATGAGTGGATGGACGGATGGATGGATGGATGGATGAATGAATGGGTAGATGAGTGGATGGACGGATGGATGGATGGATGAATGAATGAATGGATAGATGAGTGGATGGACGGATGGATGGATGGATGAATGAATGAATGGGTAGATGAGTGGATGGACGGATGGATGGATGGATGAATGAATGAATGGATAGATGAGTGGATGGACGGATGGATGGATGGATGAATGAATGAATGGGTAGATGAGTGGATGGACGGATGGATGGATGGATGGGTGAATGAATGGATGGATGAATCAATGAACGCAGTAGCAAGCCCTAAAGGACATCCACAAGTTCTTACTTGTGGAAATAACTTACAGCTGCCAAATTTCAGGGGGCAAGCGTGAGCATCCATCGGGAAGTCTTCTAGTTGCATCGGACACTCTGCAGAGATGGTCAAGCTGGAAAAAAAAAAAAAAAGACAAAGACTAAGGGACTCAGCAAACCTGGCTATTGATGGAGCATCCGCTGTGTCCCTGAAAGCCACCCTAATTATTGCACTCATTATTTTATTTGCCATCTTTTATTGTCTAAACTGTCCCACCAAATTACATCGGTTTGCACTGTAGATGAACGTCCATGGAAATAAGGCTTCGATCAAATCCATGTGAGTTCTCAGACATGGCGTGTGTGTCCGCACATACATTACCCCTTGGAAAGCAGTTTGAGACGCCTTTAAAAATAATTTATTCTTTCTTTCCCATCCTTACCCAGAGCGATCTACAAAACTTCCGTGACAAGGCTGAAAATACAGGTATTTTCTAAAATAGTCGCTAAGCTCAAAAAGCATCAAAGTGGAATAAAGGCACAGACCAGATTCTGAGCAGAAATTGGCTCTCATTGTTGAGGGCAGGATGATGTCATCAAACCGTGAAGCAGGTGAAACTGTGTTATGATAACAATCTTTTGATACCGACTAATCATTGTGATAACACTGAGCCTGGCCTCCTAGGTAATAAGACCACCGCCCACTCCCACGGTCCCAGCGACTAAAACAGCAACGGTTCTGGGAGCTGTCACGTCTACGCTGGACTCAGCATCACGCGCCGTTCCAGCATTAACACATCTGATCGCAACAGAACGATGAAGTTTGTTGCTGTGAACACATCAGTGGACAAGGAGAGACAGCGATGCCCAAACATGGAGGGATGCGGGCAAGCGTGCGGAATTATTTAGGAAGCCCTGGAGTCGCGACGGGAGCCCTGGCTGCCCCGCCCCCTGGCCCTGCAGGGGATTCGCGAGGGCACGCCCACTACACGCCGCGTGGTCCCGGGTCCCGCGAATTTCCAAAGTCCACACTGCGGTTCTTTCATTTCTTTACAGCGTTTTCTAATTAGGGCGCGACTCTAAGTTCCATGAATGAAGTAATTTTCTGTTTTGCATTCCATTATTTAAAAACAAAATGAAATGACATCAAGTCAAGTTGAATTACAAAATGTTCACCTTTAAACAGATCGTTCTAGTGTAGACAAATAATAATTCAATGTGATATCAATATTGTTGTTCTTTCCGTTATATGAACTCTAGATCTTACCTATACACCAAGATTTCTTTTTGTCCAGATAGTTTCTATGTGTAGGTATATTTCCTTTTTGTTTGTGTTATGTAAGATTCAGTCTGTTGTATACCTAGCACTAGAGCGGGGCATTTGCCCACATTAAAATCTCTACAGGTCCTGTCTGGGTAGCTCTGTTGATTAGAGCGTTATCCTGATGCGCCAAGGTTGCAAGTTCGATCCCCAGTAACGGCACATACAAGAATCAACCAATGAATGCGTAAGTAAGTGGATAACAAATCGATGATTTTCTCTCTCTCCCTCTCTATAAAATCAATCAATAAAAAAAAATTTAAGAGGACAAGAAAAGTAGACCAAAGAGTCTACTTTTAGCATCAGCAGGACGTGGGGGAGGGTAAGAGGAGGTGGGCAGAAACCAGAGGACACAATTTAGCTGAATCTTTAAAGAAGACTCATTTCAAGAAGAAATGATTCCAGTAAAACATAAAAAAGGAGTAATCGCACAATTACCATCTCCATCAATGCTATCATTAGAGCTTCCCAGAGTGTTTACCCAATTTAACAGACCCCCTTAGAATAATTCCAAACATTGGAAAAATACATACTTCCTCTATAAGGGTGTCTCTGTTCAGGTTAATCCCCCAAGAGCCAACGCTTCCGCCTCAGAGGACAACATTTATATATTTTGCTCCCTTTCTAAACATTTCAAAAATGGCCTGTGCTTTTAGGATCCTCAAAAATATGTCTAGGCAGGAGGCCGCCTTCCGTTCACGGCATCCTTAATATGGAGAGTCCTTGATGTATGGCCAACCACATCACACAGATGTGAGATCAAAGCGCTCTGTGGATTGGATAGCTCAAAGCAACCCGCCAGGCCACCCACTAGAAACTCTCTTTCCAATGAGAGAAAAGGGAGCCTAAGAGGTGAAGAAGCCCTGGCCGGGGAGAGTGTCGTCCTGACGCGCAAAGATCGCAGGTTTGATCCCCAGTCAGGGCGCATGCAAGAGTCAACCGATGAATGCTCCTCAGTGAGTGGAACAGCAAACTGATTCATTCTCTCTCCCTCTCTCTCTACCCACCCCGCAATCAGTAGGAAAAACAAAACAAAACAAAACAAAAAACGCTGAATATAAATTCTGGAGCTGAAAAAAAAAGTTAGTGAAATGAAAAGTCCACCCTTATAGCTGCTACTCAGTCTTCCAGAATTCTGAATATTGCAAATAACGGATGAATGATTCGAGTGGGTTTTATAATATTATACATTGCTATTTATTATATATTAAATAGCACACGTTTTGTGCCAATAACCCAGACCCTTTCATATGGCGTCCCCACATCCTCTGTTCTGGGGAGCGGACAGAAAGGGAGCAGCTGAGGCGCGCGGAGGTCAGACGGGCGCGTGGGACGCTGGGTGACACGCGGGGGACGGAGCCGAGGGCAACCTCAGCTGAGCGGGGGCTTCTTTGTCTAGATTCGGAGGCTCAGAGTAACCCCCTACCTGGAACTGTCCCCTTGATGCCCACGACTGGTCTGAGCCTCAGGCTCTCCTTCCCACTCTGCCTTCCAAAGCGCCTTTGGGGGGCAGTGTGCCACTGCCCCCTAGTGGCCGGAAGCAGGTTCTGCAACCATCTGGAGCTGCTGCGCATCAGGAAAGGCTTTTCTCATTACTGTTTACATCTGGGGTCCCCACCCCCTGGACCGCAGACCATGGGAACAGCCGCAGGCAAAGCTCACCTGAGCTCCGCCTCCTGTTTCCTCCCCAAATCCCCCCATCCCTCCACCCCGTCTTCCACGAAACCGGCCCGTGGTGCCAAAAAGGTTAGGGACCACTGGCTTACATGACCGAGTTCAAGGCCACCAGGGCCCAAAGGTCATCAACTTAGACGAGGTGCATGATTTTAAGGACACATTCTCTACTAAGGCCCCCACGGGTCACCCGCGTCCCCAGTACAAGCGGCGCTGACCGGATCGCCCCGTGCAAGCTTGTCCTACGAACAGTCAGGCTCCTGTAGAGAAGGAACTGAGCTCAGCCCGGGGACCCGGGCAGGAAGAACTGGGGTCCTCTCTCCTCATCGAGAGACAGAAAGACCCACGGATTCTGCAACTTTACTCTGATCCACGTTCTCATTGTCCGGCGCAGTTGTCCGTAGCGGGTCGGGCTGTTTGAAAGACACATGAGCTTTGCGGCCGTGGGCGTTCGTTCGCTGGGGCTCCCAGAACAAAGCGCCGCCGACCGCGAAGCTCCAGCGGGAAATGACTTTTCCCGCAGCCGCAGAGGCCGGGAGTCCGACGCGGGGTGTGGCCTCGCTCCGGGGCTCCCAGAGGCCGTCTCCTCTGTGTCCTCACGCGCCGGTCCCCCTGCGTGCGCAGGGCCCACCCTGGTACCTCCTTTCACTTCATCTTTAAAGGACTTAACTCCAAATACAGCCAGGACCTGAGGGATGGGGTTGGAGATTTAAACACGCCCCTTTTGCAGGGACAAAATTCAGCCCATGGAGATGGGCAGTTCATTTGCATCTCACCTGAGGCTCCCCCCGCCCCCAACGACACCTGTCCAACTTTGACCAAGGATGGGAGAGACCAACATGGATGTAAAGGGCATCCACGTGAGTTAGGGAAGTCTTGGCCATTGGAAAGTGGCATTAACAGAGGGGAAAACTTTTGAATTCAGGAGAGATGGGAGACCCCATTTCGGGCATCCTGTACGAGATCGTTTGCAAAGCTCTCGCTGGCTACTTTGCAGAGACCCTGAGCATCGTCTGGCTCTTTGCGGGCGACAGGAACATACACTCAAAGACATCGCAGAGCCCTTGGAAAGAGCTGGTTCCAGGGCAGCTCCAGGTTGGGGGGGCGACCAGAGGTGGAAACGACATAAACCGATAACGGAGAAGAAGAGCGTGCAGCGAAAGCCAGGGAGGAGGGGCTCCTTTGTTCCTGTGTGTGGAAGAGCCAGGCAGGTCCGTCCACATCTCGGGGAGACGCTGCCCCAGCCTGGCTAACAGCGGCCAAACACGCGTCTCCTCGGGGCTGTGAACTGTAAAAAAAAATAACAACAACAACAACAAAAACAAACAACCCCCAGAACACCTCTCCTCCTTGATATTTGCAACAATCCTGGAAGACAGGTATTATTTCATACTCTTTCACAAACTAAGAAACAAGGGCACGGAGAAGTTAGGTAACACCGCCCCAGGCACACATATAGTGGAATAATTAACGTTCCAAACCATGCGGAAGACCCCAGAGCTTGTGCACAAGTTCAAGTTCAAGTCAAGAAGTCACTATTGACCAGCTATGTGTGCATCCCTAGCAAGGGAAGTTCAGAGAGTATTTCGAATGGTCTTGGCTTCTGTATTCAGAATGAGTAATAGGAGAGCAGGCAGTCAGCCCAGTGGCGTGGCCACATGCCAGGGCAGGGAAGGGGACGGGGAGTGAGTGACAGGTGACCCCTGGTGGCCGGGGGCTGGAAAGGAAGAGGCAGTGCCGTGCATCAGAGAAGCAACGAAAAGGAGGCAGTTGGGTAACAAAAGCCAGGGAAGCAATGGCTGCTCGCAAAGGACTCTGGGCTCTGTGGGATGTGGGCAGAATGCGCGGGACGGGGTGCCTCCTGAGCAGGGGGAGCCTGGAGCCCCCAAGACTGAAATCCGGGTCTGACTGTGTTTTAAAGCATCTGAGTAAATAGTACTTGCACCAGGAAACAGATGCGTTTTCAGGGGAGAAATCCCAGAGCAAAGCTAGAAGTGGCTTTGAAAGGTGGCAAATGGTAATTCCACCATCTGCAAAATAGGCCACACTGTATGTCCAACCCCCTGGTGGTAGAGCCCCTGACACCCCTTCTGGGGCACGCGTGACAGATGTGGCATCTTCCCTGCTCAGAGGAGAAAG